TATAGAGTGTCTGTCTTCTTTTACTAGAAAAGCTGCCAGACTGGGAAAATTTCAACAGCAGAAACTGCAGTACAATCTCATACTAGCCGAGATGCCGGCGTGCAGACAGATCAAAGTGAAGATGCTGTCCAAGACTTCCAGCAAGAAGTCCAAGCAGATTACGCTAGCCTTCTATCATTCCTTCAGAGAGTGGAGGATGCTGTTATCAAAGAGCTAAACAAAAACTGGCGAAGCCGTGCCTTTGATGGCTTTGAAGTGAACTGGACAGATCAGAATGAAACAGTAAGTTGACAGAATTCAGATCCTTGTCATTACCCAAGCAGAGCTGGTTGCAGTGGCTCTGACTCGTTAGTTATATTTCTCACTGCTGTGATTGTCCTTTCCAGATTCTAATAATTAGAAATTACTAGTTGTTGCTTTCTCCAGCTTCCTCCCTTGTTTGTGTCTGCCTTTCTTGGTAAAACTTCTGCTAGTGACTGTGTTGCAGCAGCTTTGTGAGAAGGAAGCCTGCAGCTGGCGTAGGCTTATCTTCAGCTTCCAGCAGCCCCTTTAGAGCACGCCAGACTAGCAGTTATCTAGGAACAGTTGCAATCAGTGATTCGGCAGCTTTTCCTATTTGGATTGTATTTGCTTATTGTACAGTGTTCAAGAGTGGAAGCAACTTGTATTGGTCAGTACCTGCTGGTACTGTTGTTTTCGGACCATTGCTTGTGAAGCTTAGTGAGTGCTAGACTCATACCTGGGAAGCTGTCATAAATCCTTACGGCACAGCCTTCCAGAGTTGTTGTGCAGCCTCTGAAGTGTGCCGTCTGCGAGAGGTAATGATGAAGCAACAGCTGGTTTGGTAGGGTCATGTGCTTTTTTCCCCTATAGGAATTCAACAACTTTTTCACGTGTATCTATGTGCTACTCAGACATACGATCATATGCAGGGGCATGCACAGATCTCATTTCTCTGTGTTCGTTGATTATTGTTTCAGTGCTTGAATTTGATCTCTTCCAGGTGTTGTGTTTGCATACATTGTCATACCCAGAGGCTCAGGATCAAAACCTACAGGTTACCAGCGTCTCATGGAATGCAACCGGATCCGTTGTTGCATGTTCGTATGGTCGGTGAGTATCTGAATGGATTAAGAGCGCAGCTGAGGTTGATGTGATGTCTCAGGCTGACCGGAGTTTTGGATACTTTTGCTTCCTCTGCTATAGTAAACTAGACATATATATACATGCCTTATGCAAGTTAAATAATTAATATTCAAAGAAACAAAATCTGAGGGCAGTCTTAAATGATGGCTTTTATTTCTTCTACCTTCCTCCTGCCCCAAAAATGGATACATGTACTCTTACTGATTTGTTTCTAGATACATTTTCTTTCCAAACAGAATCTAAAGAGCAGATGCACTTGCAAATATATGTGGGTGAGGTTTGGAAGTACGTGCTTATCTTCATTGAAGATCGTGTTGTTTTAATGTGGTCTCTCAGCACCCTAGATGAACCTGGCGCCCATTCACGCGTGCGCCTGATGCCATGGACGTGTGCTAACAAACATTTAAGAATTTCTGAATTGAGGGTTGGACAAAACTTTCATCTAATCCAGTGAATGTCTATAGCAGCCTCTCCTTTCTGTGCCCTACTGCTGCCTTTATTCCTGTTTTCTTAGATTAAAAGCCCCAGCAAAAAGGGGATCTATGAGTGAACGCATAGGGAAGAGTAAAACAGGGCAAACCTGTGAGTTACTTGCCCCTTCTGCTCTCCCAGTCTACAGCTATTTTCAGATGAGAATGTGGTTTCTATGTCTGTGGTTACCCTCGGTAGAATTCCCTTCCATGCACTTACATGGTCTCTGTGAATCTGTGTAAACTCTTAGCATCTACAACATCCTTTAATAAGGAGTTTCACAGATCAACTACCCATTGGATGAAAAATTGCTCCTTTTATTTGATCATATCTCTTCCAATAAAAGAATTAAGAGCATCAAATAGAGACAGTAGAAATCAGGCTCAAAATAATTGCTTCCTGTCCTGGCCACTCACTGTTCTGCAGATCTCTGTCCTCCATATCACCTTCTTGTAGCAAGACAGGACATCACATTGGTCAGCGTGGTGCTAGTGACAGAATACACGCAACAGTTTGGTAAGCACGTGATGAATGAAACAGATAGAAATAACAAAGAAAGTAGAGTGCCAGGTGTGTTTTAGCATCCCAGAGTAATAATTCATGAGCCACTTGTGGCAAACAAGTATGGTGGGCATAGGACTGGATTGAAATCTCTAGAGCTGGGGTGCGTAGCATGATTTGGGTAGGGTCATTGACACCATTTGGTGGTTGTGAAGAATGTTCTCGGTTCCTGTGGAGGCACCTGGACTTCAAATCATGCTGCTTCTCTCAGGCCAAGCACGACTCAGTAAGTCTTTTCAGCCCCTATCAGTCCTCCAGGTAAGATATTTCCTTACTGTGTATTCTCAGACCCTGGATCTTGGAGTGCTTGTTTAGCAGAAATGTGGCTTGCAACTCAGCCAGCTTGCAAATCAGCAGCAATTCGGTCTCCTTGGATTTTCATTCCCAAATACTCACAGCAACTTTCTGTATGCGCCCTTTAGATTGTTCCCATTATTCGAATGGTTAGTAGATCTTGGAATAGTGAATCGTATCTGAGATTTACTTGCAGGCACTTTGTTCTGTAGGTACAGACGCATACTGTATATATACTGGCCTGCAGAGACTTTTTCATCACCTCATGATCCTTTCACCTCAGTTTTCCTTCAAGCCACAAAGCAGCACGTTTAAATGACGCTTTGGGCATACCACAGCTCTGCTAGACTGGGATTCTCTGAGGAACAGACAAGGCAAGATGTAGCTTTCTCTTCTTCAGGTTGGATGGTGGGGACTGGAGCACAGAAAAATCCTATGTCTGTACCTGGAACCTGGACAGAAGAGGGTTGAATCCACAGCGCCCGGACCTACTGGTGGATGTTCCCAGTTCTGTCATGTGCCTGGCTTTCCACCCCTCCCAGCCTTCACTGATAGCTGGTAGGTTGCTCTTGCCTCAGATCCTGGCTGAAATGTACCCTTCCCTCAGCTGGGATCATTTTTTTCCCCCCTCTCTTTCAGCTCAGCCTAAGATTTCTTGTGGAAGTAATGGCATTGCAGCTCCTCAAACTGAGGAATTAATGCTCACGTACACCATTAAGTGCACTGTTGCTTCTAGACTGGGAACTGGGACTTGCTCTTTCAGTGACATCTGCCTTTATGTCATCTCCTCAGAGAGAGATGATAGAAGGAAATTCAGCCCTGGGTGTAAGTGGGAAGAGTGTACTTATTTTGGTAGAGCCATGTTCTCTTACACCAGAGCTGACTGAGCCTTGTACATAGCTGCCAGTCCTCTGAAGCCGGTGGGCCTGTTCCCA